TCTAAAGTTAATTTGGGGAATTCTGGTTTTGTACAGACCAACAAATTAGATTTTACAGATTAGCCATAACAAATCCTGCAGCTTGGCAGGGGGTTAGATGACCCTTGTGGTCCCTTCCAACCCCATGGTTTATGAACAGACTACTCCTGAAATTCATATGAGCTTTATGAGTTGCCAAAATAGAAGGCCAGATAATTGGATGCACTGGAGCAGTGCTCGGTGCACCAGAGAAGTGGGTCCGGAAAAGCTGAATTCTTGTCATCTTGGGGCTAGCAAGGGTCAGTTCCACTATGCTGGCTTTATACCACCTTTTGCTGGCTTTATACCAGCCAAGGATACCCCTTGTTTAGGGAAATCACAGCTGGCTTTTTTAAGCTAACTTTCTGTTCCTTTGACTCTGTGGGAATGGCCACAGATGGAAGGCAGAAGTGGGTTGAGACTATGGCATTGGTTTTGGATGACTACATTTGATATTAAGAAAAGGGTAAAATTGCAACATTGGAGTAAAAGTTATATCTCACCAATGTTGTATGATCCTCAGCTGGTGTAAATCACTATAGCTGATTGACATTGTTAGTTCAGGCTGTGACCCATTATCGTGGGGAGAGACAGAGGCACAAATGGCAGTTAGACACGTAATTGTCCATGAAAGTCATTGGGAGTTAGGGCTTAACTTCCATTTGTGCCTTTGAAAAGCTCCCCCTTGATTTCTAAGAGAATGTGCTCTACATTGAGCATGTGTGACAGACGTCTCAGAACCTGCTAAACGGGAAATGTAGTTAAATGCATCTGAATAAAAAAGTCTCTTTTTATAATTAAAAACAATTAATGCATTAGAGAAACATCTCAATATGTTCATCACCCCTTTGTATAAGTTTTTATTGGTTTCACAGGCTTTACAGGTAGCATGGATAATCATAGTAAAATATCAGACAAGTTAGCAACATCAGTATATTAAGGAGGGTACACAGGTTCTTCTTTATTGGTTCTAAGTGGTGATCGTACAGGGAACAACGAATATTTGACATGACACTTTCCCATTTTGTGACATTTTAGTGGCCATGCAATAGTCAGCCAAGCAGTCTATCATCATCCTTTGACCATTACTATAATCTGAGTTTTACTGTGATGCGATGGAAGCATTTTCTCTATGAATGCATTAGTTAGGCTTATGTCAGTAGACAAAAATAACTTTCAGATTTAATACTGTAAATATCATATAGCTTCACTATAAGCTAGTACTTACGGGTAGTGGACATTATAATTACAAGTAGAGCTATATGTAAAATGGCAACAATATGAAAAACATCAGTTTAACAAAGGCAACCAGAAGTTATTTCCAAAATGAACAAACATTAGTTTGTAAAATAAAATATATTATTTTAAATAAAAGAAAATGGTTGTATTACATTTTTCTTAGAGAGAGATCTGATGAATGCAAGAACTATTTTAAATTATTTCAAATGAATAAACACTCAAACCAAGGGAACATTTTAAATACAATGGAAAGGAAAAGCTAAATAATTCTAATAAATATGCAGAATACATATAACAAATGAAGTAGCAGCTCATATGGTTTCAGGTACTATATCACTGATGACATTATTTATCACTTTCCGTCAGTCAGAGTCAGAATTCTCACAGTCTTTGCTAAGTGGGGGAAATGTGTTTAGCCCTTCTTCCCTTGCCATTCTTAGTTGTCGCAAGTGTTCCTTCATTTCCTTGGAAATGTGACAGATTCTTCCTTCTATGCCAGGCACTGCAACTACTGATGTGCTTGTATCTGTTCTTGTTTCAAAGGCTTGTGGTAAATTCATGAAATGTTAGTGCTAATTAAACTAAATTCTCTTCATGTAAACAACCTAAATGCGCATCTGACTAGACTGCGAATCAGCTATTAAAATAATTAACATACTAAAAACCTGCCTTATTTATGAGTAACTGGAATTTTCTGATTGGACCTTCATAAATTCACGCTCCACAAAGCTCACCATGAGTACTCCCTTTGCAGACCCAGAGAGCTATATTTTAATACCGTGTTTCCCCGAAAGTAAGACATCCCCCGAAAATAAGACCTACTTCCAGTTTTGCCTCTCGCTGTAATATAAGGCATCCCCCGAAAATAAGACCTCCCGGATAATAAGGCCACCCCGGAATATAAGGCCCCGAAGCTCCAGGAAAAATAAGAGCTCCCCTGAAAATAAGACCTAGCGCATCTTTGGGAGCAAAAATTAATATAAGACACTGTCTTATTTTCGGGGAAACAGGGTAGTGTTAGCTCAGACATCAACAAATAAGGTAAGCACCATTCTCTTACTTGTTGAAAATACTGTATGTCAGAATCCAGGAAATAATTTTTGCAGAATGTGGGCCAATCTGCCATTATAGCTTTCTAGGTTTAAAATATATAAATCTGAGGTCAATGACTGTTCAAGGGATTAATAATGGGATGACCTACTGCCTTTCACTTTTAGTTTCCTAGTTCAAATCTTACCCAGACTCGTGGAGATTGAATGCTGGAACTATTTAGCTATTTTAGATATTTTGAATGTATCCATCACTCAAATTAAGGCTAGCGTATGTTGTGCAAAAGGGACATCACACACTACCATTCTGATAGAAGACAAAGCTAAAAGTGTGAAAAGGGAATCAGTATAGGAGCAGGATTAGAAAGAGTAGAGAGAAAAAGGATAGGTGTATGTAGGAGCCTGTAGATAAGGAAGAACAGTTTGAATGTGATGTGATAAGAGACAGGAAGCCAACATGGAATTCAAAGAGGGCAAATAACATGGTTTGAGGTGAAGGTGAGGAAGATGACTTCAGCACTGCATTTTGGACACAAAAGAGAGTTGATTGGCTGCAAGGCCACACAAGGTAAGCACCTGACCAGCTAATGGACCTGTGTTTAGCCATGGATTTAGTAAAGAGAGTGGATTTTGACAATATTAAACAGAAATGTGGTTTAATGAGAGACTGGATATGTGGGAAGAAAAAAGAAAAAGAAAAATGGCCAGATTTTCTGATGCATTGAGATTCTGCTTGCTACAGCAGAAAGGAGCCTATCAGGTTATGGCTTCCTGATTCTCTCTCCTGGACCCAAGTAGAGCAATGTGGGGTCTGCTCTACATGCACCAGCTGATAATACCTCCCAGTTTTGGATAGCCTGAGTACAGCATGCTGAAGTCATGCCTCTTCTCTGCACCCAATGCAGCTATTGTGACAGGGATGGTGGGGAAAGGAGATTAGGGAGCCAGCTATGCCACCTTTATGCCCACAGCGAGGACCCCATGCAGGAGGTAGTCCCAAAAGGGAGATAAGGCCAGGTTTTCTCCCCTTTGTGCCACCAAAATGGTGCAAAGGAAAAAGTAGGCCAGGAGGCAAGGAAAGACAGGCAATGGAGAAGAGGGATGGAAGGGGAGGAAAGGGATTAGAAGAAAAGATAAGAGGTCAAGTTTTGGAAGGTGAATCTGAAATGGTAACTGGTCATCCAAGAGGAGACATTAACAAATGCTTTTGTCAAAATGCAGGTTTCTGTTCAAAGTAGTGTTATCTTGATACCTAAATTGTTGATTGCTAACAGTAGTTTTTTAGCTTGTGTTCCTGAACAGAGTATACAGTACTTAGGTAATACAAGAGAAGCCAGGTCAAATCCAGAGACAATATTCCCATTACAGAGTTTACAGATGCTTTGTGAGATTTGAGGTTAGAAATTAGTTTCGCAGTCTTACAAATAGGGCTAATGATGCATGGAGTTTTGAGTCAGACTTTTTAGGAAATTGTTTATACTTTTTGGCATATAACTCACAGGCACATATGACAGTCTGTCCTGTCCAATTTAGAGCTATGTGGATATTTTAAAGTCCAGTTATCTTCACATTCCACAAAGTTCCCAGGATTAGATGGACTGGACAAAAAAACATATAGCAGACTGCTTAACCACAGAATGTCAAGACCATCTTCTGGAAGAGATTAAAGCATACTTGACGTTGTACCTGCTGCAAAGAGATCTAGCTAACGCATATCCTGCTTCACAAAAATGCTCTGAATGTCCTGTCTATGGAACGCTGAAGGTTCTGAATGAAAATCTGCTCTGAAATATCGTGAGGTGAATTATTATGTGTAAATAAGGCAGATTCTGGTTTCTTGGAAATAGGGAAAACTGAAAAAGACTTAAGATAGAGATTGTTAGAGGATTACTTAACTTACTCCGTTATGGATAGAGACTTTTTCTGTGCTAGGATGAAATGTACTATGGATAATGCCATTCTTTCTGGAGACTGCATGTCCCTGGCTAAAGGAAAAGTCTATTTTAATGCAGAGCTCCCTGGATTACTGACAGGATTTTACTGACTGGGCAAAATTGCCAGAAGGGAATTATACCTTTTAGGTTTCTCTTCTATACTTCAACTTTATGTCTTTTTTACTGTTATGGAGGTAAGAAGAATTTAATATTTCATCCTATTAAAGTTGCTGAATGGATGCACAAGTGTCTGGCAGATAAGGTCTACAAGTTGGAGTGGAATCAATTGAGGATGTCTCAAAAACAATACCCTCTCCTTCAGACAAGTAATTAATATTCTTAAAGAAGGCAGCTTTTGCCTAATATTCATTTGGAAGAGATTGACACTAAAAAACTGGGGATTGTGGTAAAGGACTTTAAAGAACAAAATACTGGGTGGGATTTTCAGAACTACCTAGCTAAATTAGGAATACAAATCCCTGTGGTTAAACACAGGTCCATTAGCTTGTTTAGGTTGTTCCTTCATGTTAAGTCCTCCTACTGAAGACTGACAAAGGAGACCAGAATTTCATGCTAATTTAGGGGTTTAAGCTTTTGAAGTCTGTTATGTTCCTCCTCCATCCTTCCATCCCTTCAAAAATCTCCCTCCCTCAACTTCCCTGTGCAGCCTGCTACCCCTCCCTCTGCAGAAGACAACCTTCTGGGAGAAAGTGGTCAGTCCCATTCCCATACAATGGACCATATGCCCTGATTGCTACCTTTAGCGGATAAAGAGATTATTCTTTGGTAAATCACTAAATGCTGCACAACAAATTTAGAAAGTTAGGAACAAATGCACTTAATTATTTGTAATTGCAATGGTGCCCGAAGTCCACAGTAAGGATTGTAGCCCATTGTGCCTCATATGATATATTTTAAATTACCTGTTAGTGATGCTGATTTGGACTTGGTAATTAAACTCATTCGGTGACCGGAGATGCACTTTTTGATGTCATGCACAATCTTGATAGATTCAAAGTGATTAACAACAACTGTGGAAAATATCTGTGCAGTTTCTGTATCATACATTCTAGGACAATTCTGAAACATTACATAGCCATCCTTTCCCTGAAAAGTAATAATTATATTTAATGAAGAATATCTTTAAAATATGAGCACTTAATTGTCTATTTCTAAACCATTATAAATAAGTATACATATTTGTTAGAATAGTAGCTATGTTTGATTTGATTAAAAATATTGTATTCAGTAACAGAGTAAGATTGAATGTTAGGAGACAGACTTTCAAACAACTTCCAAATTGAACACACATACATTTTGCATGTAAGTACAGTAATTGGGTCTACTGGGTGACCTACCACTTGATTTAAATATGCAGAAACAATATTTGCATGTGCAAAATTCACCAGCAGAATTTTAGTGTGTGGTCTGAAAGTTAAAGCACACTCAGAAATCAGGTCTAATATTTTGCAAGGAATGAGAAGAAGGGTGGAGAATTATAGAAATTTGTATAAGAAATAAAGACAGATAGAAACTCTGGGGGTGGACGGAATGAACAACATCTACAATGGAGTCAAATTGCAATCCCTTACAGTGTCATAATTAAGCCATCAACATAAGTCAGTATTTCTTAAAAACAACACTCTTGAAGCATGAAAAGCATTCAAAATATTTAAACACATTAGAGCTTACATAAGCTAAGTACTCCTTAATGGCAAGTTGATAGACTTTGTTCTTCTTGAGATATTGTCCTTGAATCTTTACAGAGTCTCTTATAATTCGGTGCCTTGGTTCTGCATTTGGATCAAATCCAAATTCCATTCCTGCTACTTGAGGAAACCTGGTAGTTAAAAAAAATTTTTTTTGGTATGAAGAAAGAACCAACCAAAGTACTGACTCTTCCAGAATTCTGAACAAGTACACTTCAGTAAACTGCTACATCAACTCACAATAATTCATTCAGTGTTTGAGGTATGTTTGTAATACTATGTTTCCAAAGACAGGACTTTCACTGATTACTCTATGAAATACCACACTGAAAAGGCAGCTTTTACTCTTCTTACCAGTGGCCATTGGTCCCAGGGTTAAACATCTTGGCTACCGGATTACAGAGTGAAAGGTCTGAATTCTCCAATTCTTGCACCATTGTCACAATGGTTTCCAGGTTTCATTTTTAAGAGCCAAACTGAACTTTTGGACCAACTGCTAAATCCCAACCTGTCATACTGACCCAATTAATTCATATAACCTGAACGTTCAATTAATCAATCTATTATCTGTGGAATCAAGTTAGTTCCAGAATTTAATACCTATTAGCCAGCCATATAGAGGTTTCCTCATTTTTGTTATTTTCACTATAAAAAGTAAGCTCCAAATAAGAACCACATTTATTTTGTATACGTTTTCATACATGGTGTGTGACAAAGATTTATCTGTATCCATAGGTTTTATGTTTGTACTTATATTAGTCATTTGTCTTGCTTAGAGTGGTGTATTAATATGCCCAATACAGTTATCACATAGGCTTGTGAATTCATCATTATCATTACCTGGAGCATTTGAATGTTAGCATTAAAGTGGCTACTCATAGGGACAGTGTGGAGAATTTCCACAAATGTTCAGAACAATTGGCATTTTCATATAAAAAGGGGTTGGATAAATATTCTATGTACCTTCCATCAAGAGCTGGATATCTGTAGACTCCATTTTCGAGAGCTTCCAACAGTTGTCCTCCTGTAATTCTGACTACTAGAAGTGGGTCCACAATGGAAAGGATAGTTAAAAGATCGTGCATAGTAAAATCTCCTGCAGGATGTATATGGTTTGAACGAAGAGTACCTACAATCATCATAAAAGAAAATCAAGATACTCCCTGGTCCTTTTTCTACTGTGGGAAAACAACATGATTATCTAATAAAATGATACAAGTTTTAAGGTTTGTTTTCTTGATGAGAAAGGATTTATATTGTTGTTAATGATTATTTAAATGATGTCATGGGCCCTGGTACTGCAAAGATTTATATACATGTCTAACTTTATGTGCTGTAAATAGTCCTATTGATTTAAAAAAATAAGAAAGTATGCTAATTTTAGAGACTTCAATGGGACTATTCACACTGCATAAAATTAAGCATATGTGGAAGTCTTTACAGATTGTAGACTTATTTCTCAGGGAAACACAAAGTGCTTTGCAGCTATATTAGAGTGGATGCTGGATAGCACCTACTATAGTTAAGCTTACCGAAAAGTTTCCACGAAAATTCTCTGTTTATACATATTTTTAACTTTCCAAAACCTTTTGGCCTGAAAGTTTTAATTTTAGTTCTCTGCCAAAAAGGTGAGTTTTCCTGGAACAATAATTTCAATTTTAAATTAACAAAAACCTTTCTGACAACAAATCTTGCCATTTTAAAAATGAAAAACCATGACAAATCATTTCCTTCTTAAAAACAAAACAAAACCGACAAAAAGACTCCAGCTAGCACCATCATGTTTTCAATTTTAAGACATGCAAGCAACAACTCCCTTTTAGAATTAAAAAAAGGTACATTCAACATTTTCCCTTTAAAACAAACATACAGCAAGAACCAATCAAAAGCCTAATTCTACACTGAAGAACTACTATGCTGGCAACATTCTCTTTAAAAAAAAAAAACAAAACCAAGAAGATGACAAAAATCAGAACAGAAGTAGGCATATCTTTAGACCCTGATTGTGCAAATACTTACACATATGGGACTACTCACATATGTAAATTCTTCACAAGAATGCACAACATGTGTCTCGAGGATCAGTCTTCATTTTTAAACAGAAAAACCATGCTTGTAACAACAAATAATATGTCCAATTTAAAAATAAGACCATGCACCAAGCAAAATTTCTTGTTTTAAAGGGAAACTATTTATAAAAGAATAATTGCTTACTTAGGAAAAGAGTAGCAGAGTAAGGGGGATTTTAATCCAACCAAACTAACTTTGTCCATGAAGACTTGTGGAAGGTGTTTTTTAAACAAATTTTGGAATAGGTAATAAAGGGAAGCAAATTGTTCTTTGTACCAATGTGAAGTGTTTACATGTGGAAATGAAAGGGTTTTTAAAATGCATTATTATTCTTATTTTTTTTTTATTATTTGGGAAGGAGAGGGGGAAGAATTACAAAATGGGGCCAAGATTTCACCTTAGATATTTAGTCTCATTGCGATACTGTTGTACTATAACCCCTTTGAGTCTCATTTACTACTATTACTATCATTAGTTTGTTTCCAGCAATAGTACAAACACAATAGGCATGGTTCCTACCTTGGAGAGCATATGCTTTAAGAGATAAAAGAACTAGACAAAGATGGAGGGTAGAAAAGAGTTCAGTTTTCAAATAAGGTGGTAACACATTATATCCTGATAATATAATGCTTTAATACCATTTCCATTTGTTTTGGTATGGTATATAAACTTAGCATGTACTCCAAAACCTTACCAAAATCAGCCAGTTAGTTTACTTGTTTACTTTTATGACATCCTAATATTTTGGACACATGTTATAATTGTCACATTGTCTATGAACCAATCAAATGTACCTTAATTTGTTTTCCACTAAAAATTCTCTAGTTCCTGATTTCTTCAGGGGCTTTGATCAGTGAAAGGTAACTCATTTGACCTTTTCAAATCCCTTGACTTCTTGATGTACTCTGACTCAGATGAGTGGCTGGGACCACTCCTAATTAAGTAATTAAATAATATTCCAAACATTGCTACCGTCTTTAACAAGTAAATTAATGTTAAAACATTCCAAACATTTTGGATTACAATAAATGTTTTTTAAAAGGACAACCTGAATTGAGTAATGCTACATCAGCATGAGTAGCTTCTAACATTGCATTAGTTATCAGGTTTCCCAGGTTACTCTCTGATCTTCTTACAGTAGAAACACGACCGTCTAATTCTGTGTCGATGGGACAAAGAACTTCCTCTAAAAGAGGCTAAAAAAGAGAAGGGTTTATAGCAGACTCTATTTATTTGAAACAACTATGTCCTGAAAACTAAAGGATTACACTGTAAAAACGTTTAAAATTTTGAGCAGAAAAAAAAAAAGAAAGCCAAGCCATGGAAAAATATAGTCTCTTCTCAATCCCCTGTGAATCTGAATAGATGCACAGAAGGTGATTTATTCTGGCAATGGACAAATAGCAACAATTCCAAATCCACCTGGCTTCCATTATATACCTACACTGATGAGAACTTAATATTCCATACAGACCTACAAAAATACATTTCTCTTGAGTTTGACTAGGTAGGGGAAATCCCATTCTGTCATTTCTTGCTGTTATATTGTATACAGACAGAGTGCAGATAATAGTAATCAGCAAACAACAGCAGAGATCAAGAAACCCGTTCTGAGGTTTTAATCACCATTTTTGAAACAACTTTCTGAAAAACAGTTTGTTCTTGGCTACTCTTTCAGCTAGCCGTATTCAGCACAAGTTCAAGCGTACTGGTTGACGCTCATTGTCAGAAATGGATACTTTTCCTAGCATAGAGAATCTAAAGATAGATTCAGTCATCCTGGGATTACAAACAACGTTAGAGTCAAGCTGAGTTTAACAGTTTCAAAGTCCCCCTATAATGTGTGCTAGTTTTTAGAACCCCTGTGGATACAGACCATCCAATTAAAATGTCCTTGTGCGTTTTAGTCCCTTTAGGATTGTAGAATACAGTAGTTCATAGATGCACGCTCCCACACAGACTAAAGACTGCTGCACAGGAAGCTGCCATGGACTATCAATGGTATCAATATTGCATGTCAGAGGAACCAGCTTATTTGGCATTTTAACATTTTGTCAGAAATATTTTATTCTCAGTGGAAATGTCAACAGACATAAATGAAATGTACTTAAATATAAAGCTCTAGGTTCCCAGGTGCAACAGTAATACAAATAATAGACAATAGCTGTAATAATAAAAGAAGAAAAATTCTTAATTAAGGCCAGTGGCTTTCCATTGAAATGACCTCAGCACTCATAGAATGAAGGATTCTATCACTGCTTCGTTAATTCACACGTATATAGGCACTGCAATTCTTCAGATTCACTGACAGAGGGACTTTAATGGTGTTCTTTTTTGCCATGAGAGGTTTATTATATATTGTAGGGACTATGATACAAAATGGATAAAATTGTCTATTGTTCTGAGGCTTCTGTCCTTATACTTGATCTCAAAACTAAATTTGATAAGGTGGTGTCTTTTAATAGCAATCACTCATGGATTCACTACTTTAAAGTTTAACTTTCCATTAAAAAAAAGTAAGCTGAAGCCATTAAAATGTAATGGGCCAAATTTTTTCTCGGTATACTTCCACTGAAGTCAGTGGAGTTAATTCAAGAAGGAATTTTGCCCTCAGTTTCACCTTAATGGACCTGTCAATTTTGGTAGGCTTGAAATGAAACGAGTTCTTTTATATCTGTTTGCAAAATCAATTTAATTTGTATTTGTACAAGCACAGTAATTTCACTGACATCAGTGAAGGGTCTGTGTTCTATATCGTTGAATAGAATAGAGTGGCGTTAATCCAGATTTATGTCATAATTGAGATCAGAATTTGGCTCACTGTTATCAGTCTGATCAATTACAACAACAATTATTATCTTCTTTTCCTAGAACAAAATATTTAAGGAAGTTGTACCTACCTGCAGGTTTTGAGTATAATCATCCACCACTGATTTTATAAAAGAATCTTCTTCTAGGTTCCTCAAAATGTCAATCCTCTGAAATGTATACTGAAATGATGCACCAAACTTTCTTATATTTATTTTTGAGAAATTCCTGAAATCAGACCCACTTTTGACAATCCAAGTTACATTCACCTTTTTGATTCCATAATCATGGTCATGGCCCTCCAGAACCAGATCTATTCCTTGGGTGTTCTGGGCAAGTCTGATGTCATTAATCCATTGCATGTGTGTCATAGCAATTATAAGTCCTGCTCCCTCTGCTTTAAATTCTGAAGATATTTTATTACCTACTTTGACATAATCTATGTAGTTTAGGTTTGATTTGTTAATGGTAGGCAAGGTATCCAGCCAGTCTTCTTCTACTAATCCCATTAAACCAATTTTCGTATTATTCCATTTAACTACTTTTTTTACTGAGCCATGGCCTAGTGGTTTAGAGGTAACTCTGTCATATACATTGCTGAGGAGCCATGGAAATTTCATTTGTTGTATATAATCTTCCAGAACATCAACACCAAAATCAAATTCATGGTTTCCTAAAAATACAAAAGTCCAGAAGCTAGCTTGTTAAGGTTAACAACAAAAGGTGGTCATATGAGATAATTTTAGTTTTTATATTTCATTTAGAATAGCATTAGAGATATGAAATTTTTTCTTCAAACTAAAGGACCAAATTCCTCTTTTTTACAGCACTGAAAACCGTTAGTCATTCCATTTACTTCTGTAGTTACCCCAGCTTTATACTGTAGTAAAGGACAACAATGCTTTGCCCAAAATATCCATTTTTATGCATCTACTTCTTTTTGTACATAGATTATTTAAGTTTTAGCAAGCCCAATATTTATGGCTAGAAAAAAAAAACATATGTAATACCCAGGGCAAGATTCTTGAGAGAAAAATTAAGATACATCTCTCAGTTTATCATATCATGTCTTTGGTTGGCCTTTGAAATGTAATGGGGGAAAGAAAAAGGTGCTTTCTGGTACCATGCCAAAAGCTACCAGAGATTACAAAGGTGTGCGTAAATAATTAGGCCTATTTAAGAGAGACTTTTGGTACAGACAGGATAAAACAGGTCAGTGGATCAAGTCTTGGAGCTATTATTTGTAGTATTGTATCTGACTTTCAGGAACCCTATATCTACTGTGCATTATGCCAAACAATTCTGTACGCCAAACTGCTTGAGAGGACGGTCCAAACGTTAATGTACAAAAACCCACAGGCCTGGAACAAACTCTATTAACATGCAAAAGGGGACAATTTCATGCATGAGTGTCTGTTAATATGCGCAAATACAGGTTTTTATAAACATACACGTCTCTGAAAATATGGTCCTTTATCTAGTGCTACGGTCTATATAGTGCTATACAAATGTACACTGTATATTTAGAATAGGAAGACTAGGAAAACACAAAGTTGGTGATACAGAAGAGTTTTTTGCTTTTTTTTTACTATCTACTGAGTGGCTTTTGCGCTTTGCAAAGCAGTGACCAAAAAGTAGAAAGGAAAATAAAAGACTAGCTGACCTTGCTCGTCCACTCAAATAAGTTTGCATCGGAAAAGACATTTGAAAAACCCAATATAATGAAGAATAAGTAGCTGCTTTATACATTTCTCTTCCCCCTTTTTTGCCCAGGAAGCAGCCCTGGCACTGGGCAGAATGGCACCTCGAGTGCTACTCTCGCCTTAGCTATACATATATGTCTGATTAGATATTTACCTAAGAGAACTCTAGACCCAGCTAGAGTTTGTGTTTGTTTGATTTGTTATGGTTCATAGGAACACATTCTTCTACCTGAAAAGATCAGTCAGCTTAGCTGGTCTACTGGTGCTGACATTATTGGGCCGAGGTTATTCAGAGGAGTGGGCACTTGCTCCCAGAATCAAAAAGAAAGTTGGTTTCATGTGGAGATTATATTAATCTGTTTGCTAAGTGCTGTTCCTTTTCACAAACACATTAAACACGTGCTCTATCTTTCGCACAGGCTGCCTATTGGTTTGCAGGTTGATTATAAGACAAAAACCAAAATCTTATAAAACCCTAAATAGCCAGGGACTCTAAGAGGCCTCCTCTCTCCTGTGACATATGTCATCATACTCATGAATATCAGAGGCATCTGAATTAGAGCCTGATTGGTATATAAAGAAGAAGAGGCGGCTGCTGGCAGGACATTCTTTGTTATGAGCCCTTGCCTCTAGTATTTGCTTTCCCCTTTGGTCCCCTATTTATAAATGCAAATCCTGCCACCTCCTCTATAGCTGCAGAGGGCATCCTGCAAAGGGAACCAGTGAAGTTATGCTGCACAAAAAAAGGGTGGGTTTTGGAGGGTTCTGCAGGGTGTACCCACTCCCCTGTGCATTGTGAAGCCTTGCTCCACAGAAACTCCCTTGTGCAGTAACCTGCAGGGGCAAGGCCAAAGGAGCTGCCATTATACAGATCCTGTGGTGCTTGCTCCAATGGAAGAAAAGGCACATTGCATCTGCAGAGCACTTTTCAGCTCTCAGGCTCAGGTATCTTCTGCTGAAAGGCTCCCCACCTTCCTGAGGGAGGGGACAATTTCTCTCCCACACACTTCTGCTCATCCATCAAGGCCCTGCAGCTTTCAGACTAGTTGCTGGGTTGAAGATTTGATCCATCATGCAGCAACATAAATGGTGTTTTACAAGACATAAGAACACTAGGGACACACAATCTAAGGGCAGGTCTTCACTACGGGGGGGGTCGATTTAAGATACGCAAATTCAGCTACGCGAATAGCGTAGCTGAATTCGACGTATCGCAGCCAACTTACCCCACTGTAAGGACGGCGGCAAAATCGACCTCCGCGGTTTCCCGTCGACGGCGCTTACTCCCACCTCTGCTGGTGGAGTAAGAGCGTCGATTCGGGGATCGATTGTCGCGTCCCGACGAGACGCGATAATTCGATCCCCAAGAGGTCGATTTCTACCCGCCGATTCAGGCGGGTAGTGTAGACCTAGCCTGAGTCTTTTTGTCACTATAGAGCTTACAATCTAACTGTGGGTGCGCCTGTAAAAGGTAGCTGTAAATAAACTAACAGATATTATGAACTTCATCTGTAAATAACATTTACTTACCAAAGACTGCGAAGTGTACTCCCACTGCATTTAATATAGGAATCATATGTTTTCCTTTTGTTATTGAACTTAAAGCTGATGGATTTAAGCAGTCTCCACTAAATATTGTAAGTGAATCCAGGGAACTGAACTTTTTTATAGCTGCAGCAAATCTACAAGAAAAAACACAACTTTCAGCTTGCTTTATTAGATGGTTAGAGCTGTTGGACCATCTTTATAGCTTTCTTTTCTGGATGGAATTAATTCTGTTTTAGAGTTTGTCAACTGCTTCAAACTAGGAAAACATGCTTTGACACAAAAGAAAAGTGAGGGAGTGTTCACTCCATTCTTTGAGTTTTTATAGAAGAGAATCTCTGAACAGAAAGGGAGGAAAAGAAACAGGGAGAAGTTGGAGGCAGATAATAGCAACAGCATTTTCCCCTTGGCACTATGTTAACACAAATAATAAATAACAACAATATCCCTCCTGTCTTTTCCATTTCTTCATTTCAACTTTCACGCCCCCATGCCCTTCCTCTTCTATTTCCATCTTATCTGTTTTCTTCTTTTCCAAATATTGTCTCTTATCTTTTAGCCTTCTCCCCTGTCTTGGTTTTAAACACACATTTCTAGCCCTTTCCTTTCTTTCTTCCATATTACTCTATCCCCCTCATATTTAAAACATGTTCAAATTACTGGAATATTTCATCAATGCTGATGCTGCTGCCATTAAATCACTTTACCAGTGCTCTATGTCAATCCTTCTGAGAACAGCACTTCCTGAAGCAGATTGACAATAAAGGTTGCTTTTGGGAATATTGATTCTGCAAAGTGAAAAAAGTGTGGCAGGAATGGCAAATGCAGTGGGAGAAAAGGCTCAGTATCCAAGAGTTACATGACTAGTCATAATTGAAGTGGTGTTACCCTTAAATCTAAGGTTGATTTTAAGATTCTTGGATGCTAAACTAGATAACAATATTGTGAGTCATTACATTAAAATACAAAAGAATGTAAAAAAAAAACCCTGTGCAAGTCTGTGTGTAGACGAGTCCTATGGAACAAGGAGAAACCGGAAAGCAGAAACCAACTGAAGAATATGTTTTACAGTCAGTTTCTCCTTTCCTTTGGTTAGTTGCCTTTGTCCTGAACTAAAATGTTTTTTTAATGTAGAAAAATTTATCAATAGAGTTCTCCTGTAGCAGTGAGAGGCCATCTTAAGTCAGGAGAGGGTGTATGATTGGCCAGAATTTATTAGAGGTGGAGCTCAGGAACTATAAAGCCTGCTTCAGTGCAAAGGGCCTCACTCTAGTGTGCTAATCCATTTTAGGTGATCTCAAATCCTAAAGGTGTTGTTCCAGTTTGAAAGCTTAGTCTAGGTAGAAGCCTGTGGGTCTTAATCTGGTTGGAAGTTGGCTCATGTTTAAGGAGAGCAGGAGGCTTTGTGAAAGGATGCAATTAGAGATCTTTTATGGGAAAAAATTATAAAAGGGTATTTCTTATGAAGCTGTCATGGGAACTTTAGTGATTTGAATTCTTACTTCCTATGGTATCTTAAATTAAAGATATTTTAATGGACTCCTGAGCTTTTCTGTTCCTTTTCCCTTCATTACACTGAAGTCTATGACCCAAATGGAGGTGCACATTAGTCATAGTTTGCATGCGAAGAACTGATTTGGGCCCAATAACAAAGGTCATATGTTTATGTAACTCATTGTTTGTTCCTGAAGAAAACAGAATTGGTCTGACTCTTTTTGCTGTCCTTTAAATAGGCATCAGATTTGATAACACCAGCACATCCTACTACCATCTTACAAAGCACTGTCTCCTAGCTTCAAGTTTCAATCTTATGTCTTTTCAACTAGCTGTCCAACATTCTTTGTACTTCCTTGACAGCTGATTTTTCAGATTTACATATGGAGGCACTCAGAAGGGCATGGATACTTCATGTCTGGATCACCTTTTTTTTTATCCTGTCCATTTAAACATTCAGACTAAATACTTTATTTAATAGAATCTAACAAAGTACAGTACTTTCCCATGGGGCCTGGGTAATGTTAAACAGATGACTGCTTAATACGTTCAAGCCATCTAAAATACTTCTAGTTAATGAATATAATACCCTGACACACACATTAACACTTATCAGTACCATGCCTTTCTTACTAAAGTTAGGAGATTTGTTTACATTAGACCTCAGTACATTTAATTTAATCAATCCTGCTTAAATTTCAGTGTTACCTATACAAGAGTGTGTATTCCAGTTTGTGTCAGTCATTATAGACTGGCAGTGCTTTAATTCTTTCTCTTCCTACTTTGGGTTAGATCTTCAGGGGCATCAGGTACCTGAGTTCTGCTCAATGCACCTTCGGGGGCACATAGGTGACTTTCTCCCATATTTCCAGTGAGATTCCTCCTGCCTCAATCCTGGTGCAAGATCAAACATCTGCCAGCACAAAATCACTCCTGCAACTTTCTCTAGCATGCCCCACCTAGCCCCGACAATCCCCTATCCTAGAGCATGTGGCAATAGCTATAGCTATGCATACTATATGCAATCTTGGAATTCCCCACAGTAGGACAGCTCTTCAGCACAAAGGGGCTGGGGCATGGCTAAGAACCTGGCCCTTTATGTCTACCAACAGAATAGATTCTACACCTTGTGATCAAGTTGTCTCTAACTTTTTTTTTTTCCATTTATATGTACAGATAGTATTTTGGTCAAAATCAGCTCATCATGAATTCTTCAGGATGGTGTTTCATAATCTTATCAGCTTTAGCCCCAAAGCAAGGAAAAGATGATTGAATTCTATCTTATTTGCACATCAAACATCCTAGCTCCAAAACTATCATTCTAATTCTCACTTGGATACACAAGAAAACAGAGCAATGAACACGTCCACTTGGTCTGGAAAAATACAGGAAATATAGATCAGAAAGTGTGTGAAAAAGTGAATAATGAGAAAGGAGATGGGAAAAGGGCAGGACAAAAAGAAAAATGAAAATAGTAAAATTAGAACAGGAAGACAAGTGAAATATAAAAATAGAGGAACAGTAGGAAGTATACGAAGCAAACAATGAGGAAATAAAAGGAAAGAACAGGTGACAGAAGAACAAAGAAGATGAAGAAGGAAAAATGAGGAAGAATATGCAAATGAACAAAACATTTGAAATTAACCATCTATTTTTTGCTTTTAAACTATAATTCAAATCTACATTTTAAAAGAGAAAATCCTATATTCTGAAGAAAAAAATCACAATTTTTAACTCAACCTAGACAGGGAATAAGTAGCAGCAGCTATTGACAACAACACAATACTTGTGAATTTTAAAAGCTTGTTTTAATATAAGGACGTGCTACATCTTTTTGAATCTCTGCAGGATCTCCCCACCAGCTGTCTTCAATTTCTGAATCCAGCAATCATAAAAAATTTAAGCTGTTTTCTTAAAGTGGGGGTGTGATCCTCTGGTGAAAAGGTTGATGGAAGGCCAGTGTCTATAGGGGGTTGTATTAAGGTTCTGGTGCATGGTTTCTAGTGTATTGTGGTTGTGGGTGTGGTAACAGTAATGTGCCTGTGGATGGAAGAGAAGAAGGTATAAACTGTTAGGTGGCTTACTTTTTCATATTCTTGCTTTTGTGTGAGCATGTCAGCTGTGTTATGTGTGCAGTAATCATAACTGCTTCACAATGAATTTTCTGTGTATTAATTCCTAAGATTTTATAACATTTAAGTGGGGTTTGGGACTTGGTTGAGACAGGGTGGGGGTGAACCTGGCTCAGGGAAGAAGTGCAGCTGCTCGCAGAGAAAAGTTTAGTTTGCCAGCCACAGCACACAAAACCCTTCCTCTGTTATGCCCAGTGGCACATAAAACCCTTCCACACTGTAGCATAAAAATCTGAACAAAAAAGTATAGCTCCTAATGGAGAAGGTTTTATCTGACAGAGAAAGTTTCGTGTATGCACTGGCACACAGGTGTTTATGTGCCAGTTTATATACCAGCACACACAAAAAGTTTATGCATCTGTGCCGGCACATTAACATTCAGCTATAATGAATAACAATAAAAATGACCCTAAGTACAAATTTTAAAACACCCAAACAACTACACATTGTACCACATCTACTCAGAATTTACCTCTGCACCAAATTTGGCTAGCTAGACAATACTTTTCAAAAGATATCAGTCAACAATGAAAGGTTGGATTGCCAAGGACAAATTTCAGACAAAATCCAATTTCATAGACTACTAATGGAAAAATGTATAAAGAGGTACCAAACAAAAACTACTGAGAAAACTCAGAAGTACATAAAAACTAATTTCACACAATCAGCCACCTGCTTTTAGAGCAAAACAAGAATTTATGTCCCTTTTCAGAATACAAACATAACTATGGTTCACAACCAGGTGCCACCATAGTGAGTAATATTATACATTATAAGTGTAAGCTTTCTCAAATACTATACAGGCTTGTGGTGGTTGTTGCTGATTTCTGCATCTGTTTGCCCAACCTGGGAACCATGGGCCAAATCTTGCCTCCCTATCCCTTTCCTAATATAATGGAGACAGTGGTGTAAGGCCAGATTCCTTGGTTCCATCCTCTTCCATTATTACAATGGGATTGGAGGGATAAAAGGAGGGGGCGCTTCCCTGTTCTCATACTTTTCCTGGTGGTATCCTAGGTGGGAATTAAAGGGTGGAGAATTTCCTCAGAGCACTCCTTTTCCTGGTGTCACAAAATAGCCTGAAAGGAATGGTGCCTGGTGCCTCCCTTTCTCAGTATCCAAGAATAGTGTGTGTGACAATATCATGAGGTTGTCCCCTGATTCCCTTTGGGCCTTAACCAGAGCCCACTACCATATTTTATTGTATTTTATATTTACAGTGAGTCACTACCTTCCTCTTTTGCTTCAGGGGAAGGGTACTGTAGCAGCAGCCAGTCCTACCTATTTCTGCCTTCTGCCTGTTTTTCAATCAAAGTTCAAGTAATGTACACAGGTGGGGATTTGAGTGGCAGGATGCTGAGTGAGCTCTGGAGTCAGCACACCCTGTTACGTACAGATATAGCAATTTCCTGCAATATACCTGGGAAATCCGATTGAATTAGGCTTAAGTATCTTCAGGGTCCATTGTATTAAATGAAGGGTTTATGTATTATTGGGGGCCTGGATTGTATATAACCTCTCAAGGGGGCAGATGTGACAGATGTGATACCTGGGGGTTCAAAGGACTACACTGAACAATGTGCCAGAAAAGAATGGACTCTTAGAACAAAATGTGTTAAGTAGTTTTCCTGGGGAATATCTAGGGGAAAGTGAATGCAAATTCCCCACCTTTGATTATGCAAATACCCAGCCTTTTGAAGTTTTGCCCTGAGGAGTGAGCCATTGTCTGCTGATCACCTGTTACATGAGGCCAAGATCAAAGGCCCAAGCTATATAAAGGAAAAGACTGAACATTCTTGGAGGTTCTGGTTCTGAATCTGACAAAATTATAAACTTGTAACCACAGAGAAAACCCAGTTGTGGGTTTTGAACAACTGACACCTACCAGAGCCCAAGGTTGGAGTTGCAGAGAGGGGGTGACCTCTGGGAAGATGTTTAGCATATGTGTAGGTTCTTTTTTTTTTTTTTTAAGATGTTTTCTCTGTAATGCTTTCATCTGAAAAATAAATGTTTGCTTATAAAGAGTTGTTCTATAATTGTAGGCCATTAGGCTGTTCATAGTCTTCAAAGAGAATGCAAAGTGCAGACACTAGGCTGTTTAAGCAGTCTGACTTGCTGGGAATATCTTATTTAGGCAGGGAACTGTGCAGCCTGGAGACACCCCAGTCCAAAGGAAGGGAGACTGGGGTCTCTACCCAAGAGAGGTGATGGCTGATGAGCTGGTTGGTTAGGCTGGGTGCTGTTGGTGGACCACAGAGGGGGGCGTACAGGTGCAGTTGCCCTGAACTGTGAGAGGGGGTAGGGATGAAGTTACTTTCCCTTACAGTCCACCTCTCCCACAAACATTTTATGTCAGCATGGGAGGGTGCAGGGAGAGTTATTTCCTTAGTTCCCCATCTTTCCTGGTATAACGGGGGGGGGGGGGGGGGGAATGGATATTCTTTGCATCTCATATCCCAGAAAGAGAGCGGGGAAGGGAAAGGATATTTCCTGGCTTTTACCCACCCCTAACAGCTGCCAAACTTTGTGTAGTTCTGTGTGTGACATCTTGTGCAAATTATTTAATGAAATTATTTGCAAATAACCATAAGCTTCAGTTTAGGATCCACACTCTGACCAGAAGTCACACATGAAGTAGCACAAAACTAGGCAGCTGTGGCTGGGTGGGTTTCTGGATGTGTGGGAAGACGAGGGTGCCTAGGGGTGCGTGGTAGGTGGGTGGGTGCAGGAAGGTGTCTGGGAGTGCCTGGATCAGTGGGTACTTGAGGGTGTTGTTTTGGAGTGTCTGAAGGGTGCTGAGATTGCTGTAGTGCATGGGTGCTGGAGTATCTGGGCTGAGGGTAGGGATCTAGGGTGTTTGGGGTCTGGAGGGTACATGGGGTTACGTTGGGAGTGGGTGGGATAGAAGGATGAGTAGGGGGCTTTGGGGGATCCTGAGTGCTCGTGGTGTGCTGCCGGGAGGGTTACTAGGATCTGTGTGTGGGACTGCAGTCTTGTTGGGGACTAGTAGGGGCAGCCCATGGCCTGTACTAAGCCAGCTGGCCCCTGTAGCTACTGCCTGCTTCTCCCACCTGCCCTTACCCTGCTGGGATCCAGCGGAGGAAGCAGCAACAGGAAAGGCAGAGAGGCCACTTGTAGACCAGCTCATCAGGCCCCACAGGAGCCCTGTGTGGCAGAGAGGTGGAACTACAGCCTTATGCCGGCTGCCTTCCTTCAGCCCTGCAATGTGGTCGAGGCTCCAGCCAGGGAGCGGGAATGCACGGGGCTGTCGAACATGCTCGTGCCCTGTGAGACAGGGCAGCCATGCCTGCCCTCACGCACCCCAGGAGGGACAGGGTGTTTCTTTCCCTCCCTCCCTGGGAGGGGAGTGGGGAGTGCGATTCCCTCCCACCCACACATCTTAGTATCCGGGCTGGGCCAGGAGTGGCTCCTACCTGGCAGCGCCTCCTACCGGCTCCTCCTGCCTGGACTCCACCTCATACACGTCGTAGAAGTGGAGGATGACTAGGTCACTCTGGCTCTCGTCTAGGAGCTCTGAGCAGGGGCTGGGGCTGACCTTGTCCCCAGGCCCAGCTGCAGCGGAAAAGGGGGAGCCGCCCTGCTCCTGAAGTAACAAAGGCTCCATCCCCACATCCCCAGCAGGGCAAGGTGGCGCCTGAACACCCACTCCCAGAGGGGCGGGGGAGGGGGCAGACCAAGCCCACTAGAGGGGGAAGAGAAGCTGCTGTGGCTCTCACGGAACCCCTGGTGTTTTAGCTGGAGGGCCATGAACATCTCAGGGTGCCGCCCTCATGGTTCCCCCTCACTCCCACACTCAGCCAGGTGCCTATGTGTAGCACCTCACATGGACATTATTATCCCCGCCCTGCTTCACACACAATAATAGGGGCCCAGAATTGAAGGGCCCTTCACAATGCTGATCAGAGAAAGTAGGCAATCCTCTCCCAAGCCATGGCAGCTTGACAGGAAGCCCTACCCATCTACCATGAACTAGAGCTGTGTCCTCTCTGAAACACTAGTGTCAGCACTAAAGCAGAGTGAAGATTTGATTTTTCAATTCAGAGGTTGAACAACAACCAAAAAAAACCCCCCAACATTACATTTCAGGTCAACCCAGCATGGAAATTTTTCAATTTTTCTCCACTGAAACTGTCAAGGCTGTATCCCCACTTTGAACTTTAGGGTACAAATGTAGGGGCCTGCATGAAAACTTCTAAGCTTATCTACCAGCTTAGCTCTGGTCCGTTGCCACCATCTCAAGAATTCCCTCCCTGGGAAGCCTTGGGAAACCTTTCACCAAGTCCCTGTGAATACAGATCCAAACTCCTTGGATCTTAAACAAGGAGAAATCGACCCTTCCCCCCTCCTTCCTTTCACCAGCTCCTGGTGAATACAGATCCAAACCCCCCTTGGATTTTAAAACAAGGAGAAATCAATCAGGTTATTAAAAAAGAAGGCTTTTAATTAAAGAAAAAGGTAAAAATCATCTCTGTAAAATCAGTATGGAAAATAGCTTTACAGGGTAATCAAACTTAAAGAGCTCAGAGGACCCCCCTCTGTCTTAGGTTCAAAGTACAGCAAACAAAGATAAACACTCTGGTAAAAGGTACATTTACAAGTTGAGAAAACAAAGTAAATCTAAGACGCCTTGCCTGGCTTTTTACTTACAAGTTTGAAATAGGAGAGACTTGTTTAGAAAGATGGGGAGAACCTGGATTGATGTCTGGTCCCTCTCAGTCCCCAGAGCGAACCACCCCTTAAACAAAGGGCACACACACAAACCTTTCCCCCCCCCCAAGATTTGAAAGTATCTTGTCCCCTTATTGGTCCTTTGGGTCAGGTGTCAGCTAGGTTACCCGAGCTTCTTAACCCTTTACAGGTAAAAGGATTTTGGAGTCTCTGGCCAGGAGGGATTCCATAGCACTGTACACAGGAGAGCAGCCACCCTTCCCTTTATAGTTATGACAGAAACCAAAACTGAAAAGATTTAGTTTTGAGTTAAATAAAACATTTCATTCACCCCAGGACAAGTTGGGTTTTTTTGTTTAGTTTTTGGGGTGTTTTCAACCCTCTTTTGTTTTTTAAATAAATTTAGCTAACTTGCCAAATGAAACATCATTTCTAAACAAAAAGTCTCAGAAATGGCGAAACAAAACACTTTGACCTTTTCAAATTTATTTATTCCTTTTTTTCCCAGCCCAAATTTTTAGTTGAATTTGATCCAAACTCATGACTAGTTTCGGTTGACCCAAAACTGCATTTTTCACTGAATAAACTATTCATCCAAAAAAATGTGCAGCTTTTGTCAGCACCTATGTTACCAGATTGCTGAGATCTCAATGACATTTTACACAATGAAACTTGTTGCCTCTGCAGACTGCTGTTAGTACTAACAGCGAAGGTGGCACAGATTATTTATTACTCGTGGATGCAAGTTAGATCAGGATAATTTTACCTCTCAGGAGGTATTAAGAATTAGGCATGAATACATGGAACCACTTAAAAATATCCCATTAAAATAAGATATGGTAAATGTGACTGTGATGGGGTGATCCCCCATCACCTGCAAGGCAAGAGAAAGAACCCTGAATAGTCATGCTCCACACCTGGAAGGTGACTGAACTAATTGCCACCTGGCCAAAGGAGGCAGAGCTAGACTTTATAATGAGCTGAGGGAGCTCAGTTGAGGAGGAGGCTGGCTGGAAGGTTGAGTGGCTGAGTGCTGGCTGAGTTGGCTGGACTAAGGTGGAGGCTGTTGTGGTGGCTTAGAGAGGCTGCTGGTGACTAGGCTGACTGCAGCTGGTCCCCAGCTGAAAGGAGGCTGACCACTGAAACTGACGGGTAGGGGAAGTTGCCTTGGACTATGAAAGAGAAGCAGGGGATGAGGAACGATCTCAGATCAGCAAAAAGAAAAAAAGACTCGATATCAGGATTTGAAGAAGGAATGTGTAGAAATGAAGAATGAAAATAGGATTAAAGTCAAAATTTTATAATTGTCTAGTCAGTGACAGAAGCTGTGAAAATAGGAGATGTTAACTGCCAAAAATGGCAGAATGGATAAAGCAACGTGATGGTGACATACAAACAGCTAAAACAATGCAAGGTGGAGATCTACTGATAGAATGTATGCATAATGGCCGCTTTTCTCCTCTCTCTTACTAAGTAGCCATTCAACAAACAATACTTTATATTCACCTGTATTCTTTTTGATATCATCCTCAGACAATCCTAGTCGGACTCCACACATAACCCCGCTTACTTCCATCAGGAATTTAGGCATTTGACAAGTAACTTTTATTTTCCCTAAGGTCTTTCTTGCTGCATTTCCTTAAGGATACTAGATTGAGTGGGGCGGGGGGGAGAGAAGGGACTTGCCAAAAATGAATGAACAAAGTGGCAGTCAGAGCCTCGTATGGTGAGGCTGCTGCACCAAAAAAACAAAGATAGAGACAAAGTTGAGGAGGAGAGGTGAGCTAGGGAGAGGGAACTCTCTTGCAAAGGGCCTAGAGGAAGGGCCAGTATTTTAGGATTGTCTGTGGCCAGAAAGCATTGCTGCACGAGTAGGGTTAACTCTTGTGGCAGGGCCCTAGAGTGAAGGGGAGCCCTGGGCTAGGTCTGTGAGGCTCAGGGAATGAGATAGAAGCCCACAAGGGGCCAAAGGCCAGTTTGAGTGGACTCTCGTCAGGAAAAACCGGGGGGTCAGCACCCTGACATGATGAGGTATTGAAGTTGAGCCCCAGAGAGGTGAAGGACCTTTGGTTCAGAGTTGGGCCTCAGTGCGATGAGAGATCTTTTTTTTTATGCCAACTGGGACTCTGCTACCCCAAAAGGGGACTGAACAGTTAGGTGACTTACCTGGAGGGCTGAGCCACAGAAGACTCACTCCCAGTGAGGAGTTGGGGGAAGACGCTGGCTGGAACTGGTTATCATGGCCAAGAAAGTGGCCACCAGAGGGAGATGAGAGCGGTGAAGTCCCCTGCAATGCTATGTCTGGGCAGGAGGGTGCACCCTAAAGGTAAAATAACAGGCTGTTACAGTGACCTATTTTGATAGGCCTCCTATTTCAAAGGTCTTACTATCTAGAAGCATGAGAGGATTTCTGTCCTCTCCTCTCCCCTCCCCCACAACCAGTCCCTGCCAACTAGGTTAACAAAAGAACAGTTACATGACTTTCACCATGGCACTCTACAGCGTATCCTACAGCAAAATCCTGCAATGATTGCATTCACTTTCTTATGTGGCGTGAATCTAAATAATTTCACTACCGCTCTGTGTTTATGCCTGTAGAACAAAGGGTTAGACAGAGCCGATTAAAAGAATATTTAAGCCTTCATTAAATGGCAGTGATAGTATGAAAATGGCTGTTAAAATGACTTTTTGATAATCCATATGTATTGTTCCCCAATGATATGAATATCAAATTTGCTCAGTTTACAACTAAAACCAGAAGTTGTTTAACTATCAAAATTGCAACTGAGGACTACCTTTGTTTTGAGCTATCTTAATAAAAAAAAAAAAAAAAGGTAGTATAATAAGTGCATTACACACACATACAACTGAAAAATGGCTGAACACAAATGGTACTGATTTTCTCCAGAAAATTAATCTTACAGCAGAGACCAGGCATAGAACACTTTGGTCCAAAAATTATTTGAATAAATATGAATTTGTAGTACCAGTTTTATGGCTTCATTTTGCAGTAACGTTTATCATGACACTTGTAGCCATCTGGGAGTGTAAAAAAAGACAGGTTGGAGTGAGCTGTTGCAGCATGTTTGACATATTTTACTAGTTATTGCATACATGTTAGAACAAAGGCAAAAAAAGGTTAAATTGTAGATTGTTAATCTCTAGAAATCAGAAAAATCAAGGGATATCTCATTCATTTTCACAATTTGGATACAACCATAAGCAGATGATAGTACACAAAGAAATACAGAATATTTAAGTGAAATTTACATAAATTGTTTCCCCCTTGATCAAAACTTATAGGACTTGAGCAAATTTTCTCTCTTGCATTTTAAAAGTGTGAATTTTTAGTGTTTGTGAAAATGAGAGAGTTGATAGCCCAGAAGCATAAATTCCTCAATTTGTCCTAAGAAAAGGAATTTGGAATTGATCCTGAGAAATGGGAAATCTTGGCAAGTGATCGTAACTAGTGGTGCCATTATCTCCATCAGGGTATCAAAGTCCATGACAGGAGCTGGCTCCTACAGCTTGAAGAGAAAAGAGGCCGTAGGAAGCAAGCAGCTCCCAACCAAGCTACATACATTTGCAATAACTGCCAAAGATCATGCAAATCTCAGATTGGACTATTCAGTCACATGAGACATTGGAAACCATCTACATCATAGGCTGCGATTCTCACCGTCTCTCATAGATGAAGATGCCAACCGTCCTAAGAAAAGATACAGCATAGACACCAGCAGTGCATGATTTCCCAATGTTGACATTAAGAGTTGTATGCTTTCACTAGAACTACTCATGGTGGTAAAGTTTAGCATGTGTGTAAGTGTTTGCAGGATGGGAGCCCAAGCCTCTTTATAAGAAGTTCACGGAACACTTGACTCAGCCCACAAGACAGTCTCAATGTAGTAATCAGCAACGTTGCCTTTCCCACGTACA